TCCGCGGACACCCAACCCCATCCTTACCGAAAATTTAATAAAAACATTTCTAAGGCAATACTTTTGTCCGCACTAAGACATGGGAAGCTTAGTAGCTGAGGTCTACAGTAGAAAAAACAAAGGGTATTTTTCGGCTTAGTTTTTTTTTCTAAAGTAGGTCCAAAGTTGAGGTCAGATACCCTACCCAACCCTTACCGAAAAGTTGACAAACAAAAATTCTATGGCAATACTTTTTTCTGCACTAGGTGCAAACGTAAGCTAGAGACCTAGCGCCTACTTTATCAAAATTCCCAGTTTGGGTATAGCACGGATTATTTTTTAAAGCTAATAAATAATTTCCTTGCCCACCATACTTTGAGTACAAAAAATATACCTTTCGTCCAATCATAAGTAAGAGAAATCCACTGTTCAGAAGTAGAATGTTTTGTCAAAACAGTTTTGTGTTGCAAAAAAAAAACGTTAAAGCACGAGTGCAACTTTTTTTTCTTCTAATGCAGAACAATTGTTACTTTTCATGAACTATTTGACAGGATGCCGAGAATATGGAAAGCTATTTCACACAATAGTGCAATTTTGCCAACATTTAAATAATTTCATAATTATTTACGATTCTATATACACTCAAAAGTGTTGACTATTTGAAATGTAAAGCGTGCAGCACGCTGTGTGATGTATTAAAAGCGATTTCTATTGTATTTATATAATTAATGAACAAGAAATGAAATTTTGAAATTCATTGAATAGTGTCTTTGACTGTTTAATTATATATTAAAAACTGATAATATAGTGGTTGTATATTAATAAAAACATTTGAAGTACGTTTGAATCTTATGCAACATTTGGGTTTATATAAACATCTGAAAACTGGCTGCTAGCGAAGTGGCTGCTAGCGAGTGGCTGCTTGCTTGAACCTGGTCTAACAAACTCCGCATTTTCATTCACGTCTTCACATTACAGGTTTCAATAAACGTTTAGTAAATTATGTCAATGTGAAGAAAATGACCCGTATTATGCCAACAACTGGTTTTAGAATTAATTAGTTTATTTCCGATGCAAAGACCTTATAAGTGAATCAATATTAATACAAAAATATGTCATCTTTAATGATTCCTCATGGGGTTTTTGATTATGTGATTACTTGGCCGTTTTATTTAGTGATTATTTGATTACTGGACCAAATAGTTCATGATTATCTAGGACTGTATTTTAGATTAATTGATTACCAAGTTTAAACAATAAATTTGTGTGTATAGCATACATATATAATTTGGCTTGAAAGACGTTATTTTTTTCGCCTCGCTCCGCTCGGTAAAATTGTTAAGAATTAACAAGGATGTATAAATACCCTGCCACGTCCGGTCTGTGCTTTTCTTAGATGTTTTTTTTTTCTGTTTTGTATAGATCTGATATGTTAAGCCCTTTTCAACTGATTTTTATAGTTTGTTCTTATGTTGTTCTGTAACAACACTCGTCCCAGGTAAACGGGAGGGTTGGGCGCTCACTTGCATGTTTAACCCCGCCACATACTGTATGTGCCTGTCCCAAGTTAGGAGCCTGTAGTTCAATGGTTGTCGTTTGTTGATGTCTGTCATATTTGTTTTTCGTTTTATTGTGTTATAAATTAGGCCGTTTTTTCTCAACTGAACTGTTTCATATTTTTCATGTCAGAGCCTTTCATAACCGACTATACCCTACTGGTTTTTTTTCTCATTGTTGAAGGTGGTACGGTTGCCTATATATAATTGCTTACATCCACTTCATTTGAACTTTGGGGATAGTTGTCACATTGGAAATCATACCACATCTCCTTATCAAAATGTTGAGGGGTGAGGGGGGTGAAATTTGTATTTCTTTGGAAAGTTCCAATGTTTTCCTCCCAGGTCACCCAGTTTTAATTTGATATTTTCTCATTTTGCTGTGCCCTTGGATTTGTGTTTAAGGCCAACCAGAGCTTACTGCCTGTTGGTGGGTAGTTGAAGGCCATATGGTTGGTGATGTCTTCATGCTATTGTCCCATTACTTTATATAGACAGCTTATCAGTCAACCATATCTATCAAAGACGACAAATGATGGCCAAAGCTCTCCTGGCCTTTTGTATAGTCAAGCGAGAAACAAGATATAAACGGACTTGGCTTGGTATAAACATGTATATTTAGTAAATTCGTATAAATTAAAGTCAAATTAATATTTCAAAACAACATAAAAATATAAAAGTGTAAAAAAAATTTTTTTTAATAAATCTTGAAAATATTATTGTGTTTGTGTGTGGCCATGGATAAAGGCATGTTTTTCAGTCTGGGTTAAAAAAAACAAATTATTGACTTCGGGTACAAATCCCTGCCCCACCCCTGAGAATCAAATGGTTGCTTCCTTGGGAACAATAGAGATTGAAGATGTTGAGAATGAAGATCAGGTAATAATTTTATGTTCTGCGGCGACGGTAAAGGAACACCAATCAGTCAATCGATCTTTATGACTATTGCTTCAGTTGTGTAATATTCCTTGTTGTAAAAGTTCCTTTTCTGCTTTGTGTAGACTTATTAAGACTTGGAATAGATCTACGATGACTCATGAACGGTCGTGTATGGTTTGGCAATTTTACATGCCTACCGATAATAAAATTGACAATGGAAATGGGGAATATGTCAAAGAGACAACAACCCGACCAAAGAGCAGACAACAGCCGATGTCCAGATATGATACGATGCTACCGGACATAGAAAAAACTGTCCTGTGGTATGAGTGCCAATGAGACATTTCTCCATCCAAGTCACAATTTGTAAAAGAAAAACCATTGTAGGTCAAAGTACGATCTTCAACACGGAGCCTTGGCTCACACCGAACAGCAAGCTACAAAGGGCCCCAAAATGACCAGTGCAAAACCATTCAAACGGGAAAACTATGCAACGGTATAATCTATATAATAAACAAGAAACGAGAACACTTATGAACCACATCAACAAACGGCAACTACTGAACATCAGGTTCCTGACTTAGAACAGGTGCAAACAAATGCAGCGGGTTTAAACGTTTTAATAGGTACCAAATTAACTCTTATCCGAAACAATTATGTAACATATGACCTTTAATATTGAAGGGCTAAACTTGCATTGAGCCGTGTTTAGGCCCTAAAATAGAAAATAAAGAGATGTGCATGGGACAAAATCGCACACAATACATAGAAAAAATTCAAATTATCAATGAACAGGGCTTTTATTCCTGTTCTTCATCTTGAAAGTAGCTGAAGGGTCTTCAACGAGGAAAAGAACCATTCATACCCTGAAAACAACAGCCACACACTTGGCTATTTGGATTACAATGTTTTGCTTTACCCTACACCCTGGAGTTTTTCTCCAGAAGGCCTCAGGTACCCAATTTCCCTTTGCACCTAGTGCGGACAAAAGTATTGCCTTAGATTATTTTTATTAACTTTTCGGTAATGGTGTGGTAGGGTGGGTAGCTGAGGTCTACTTGAGAAAAAATCCAGAGTGATGTTCGGCTTAGTCTTTTTTTATAATGTAATAAGCTGGCAAATTATGAAAGCTCATGTCTTAATTGATAGGCATAGAAATAAATAGAAAACGTATGAAAACCAATAACATTCTACCGGAGACAAAATAACGTTGGTTTAGGCAACTAGTATGATGGTCTGGATGCGTATTTCTTCATTTCTGCATTCTTTGATATTCTATTCCATTTTTCTCTATTCTTTAATCAGTGTTTCAGGCCATTTTTCTCTATTCTTTATCATGTTTTTTCATTATCCTTTTAGCTAATTAATCTATTCTTTTTATATTTTAACATCTCATTATTCTATTTTTTTTATTTCTTGGTCCATTGTCTCTATTATTTATATTTTTTGCCCACTATTCTCTATTCCGTAAACCCCCATCCACACCCAGGCTCTAGTTAAGGTCACCATATAGCTTTCAAAAATAAGCAAAACTAATACCGAGTAGGCTCCGAATGGCAAAATGATTGAATGCTAATCCCGGTTTGAATTGTGAAATTGCGGAAATTTGTTTTTCAATCAATTGATCAAGCAAAACACATTATCGTCCTGAATGTTCGTATAATGGACATTGGTTATGAATTTTAATTATCTGAGATCAACCTTTCTAAATTTAAAAGTAAAGATCACGCACCCTAATTGTTCAGATTAATAAAGCCTTTTGCATCCGTCGACATTATCTTCGATTAAAGATCTGATAACCACAGTGACTGTGCATGTATACTTTAACGACCGGGGTAGTTTTCTTATAAGTTTTTAAAAGTAGTAACCTCCCTTGTTAATGTGATGTTGTAATCTATTTATTTGTACTATCTTAATATAATATTGTATTGTACAATTTAAATTTATGATTCGTTTAATATTTAAATATAATAATTTATTTTTTATTAAAGATATAAACAAGGTAATTTGAAAGGCTTTGATTCATTTATCACCGTAGTTCAATTCATAAGTCAGGCGGTCTATTTTGTCTACATTATGTTGAAAGAACACCGGGGTGTTTACATTGGCATTATTTACTATCAATGACTGTGAAACAAGAAAGGAAAACACTGTACATTATAAAACGAGAAATAATTAAAATTAAATACAAAATTCTTGTTTAGTGAAATCAAAAACGAAAAACGGAAACACTTTTGATTTTCATTTTGGTTTTAGAGAAATCAAAAACAAAAAATGAAAACACTTTCGTTTTCCGTTTTGCTTTTAGAGAAATTAAAAACGAAAAATGAAAACACTTTTGTTTTTCGTTTTGGTTTTTGAGAAATCAAAAACGAAAAATGAAAACACTCTCGTTTTTTGTTTTTTGTTTTTGATATTTCAAAATGAAAAACGAATGGACGCAAATATACACGGACCGTTCAATCAGTACACCAGTTGCTATCAAAATAATTTTCGACTTTGTAAGTGACTATTAATTAAATCAATTATAAATTTTCTGCCTAACATTTTTGGATTATCTGTGATAGCTACATGTAAATTACTTACTACATATTGCAGGTGTCGTTGTCATAATAGGTGTACAACAAAACCTGGTGCCACAACATCCGTTTGTATCTTTCATTCCATCACAGGTTTCATCTTCACTCATACATGAAGAACCATCAGGACATGTGTCTATGAATAAGATGATGAGTGATTAACAGATTTCTAACAGCAGAAACTGCTTTGTGCTGAATTAACAACATATTACTAAATCTAAATTCATATTTTGAAGAGATACTAAAATAGCAAAAAAGGAAAAAAAAAATACATCAGCCCTCTAAAGCTTCATTGAAAAAAGGATTGACAAAAACCTCCATCATTACAATTTTGTACGCCAGACGCGGGTTTCGTCTACATACGACTCGTCAGTGACGCTCGAATGAAACAAAAACAAAAAAAGGCCAAAAAAGGTTTGAACTTGAAGAGCATCGAGGACTAAGAATTTCCAAAAGCTTTTACCAAATACAGCTAATGTAGTCGAATCCTGGGGTATAAAATACATAGTATTTCGAAAAATTCAAAGTTTTGTAAACAGTTGATTCATAATTATGACCATATCAATGATAATACATGTCAATATTGAAGTTTTCGCTGCTGGGCTGGTGAAACTCTCGGGTAGGAAACCTCCACCAGCAGTGGCATCTGATAAGATCTGATAAGATCCTTAAGAATAAGTCATAATTGGTAACGAGCGTTATAATTTTTAGCGGCTTTGTTATTGTTTCTTGTTATAACATTGTTATCAACATAATAAAATCATCAGTAAATTTTCGTAGGAAATGACTATCCCAAGTCAGGAATATGACAGTAATTTTCCATTCTTTCCTTTGAATGATATAGTCGAGCGTTTGGTTTTGTCAGTTTTTCTGGACTGCACCTGTTTTAATTTACCTTAGAATTTTTAATACTCTTAACCTTATACATGACTTAAAATATTAAAATAACAATAAGAATAAGCTTCCATAAAACACAATGACCCAACTGTCTTATTTCGATGCTCAGTGACTGTGAAATTTTGTCAATATCTTAATTCAGTATAACTATTACAAAGTCAGTCACTCCATAATGAACATGTGTACAAAGTTCACTCCATAATGAACATGTGTACAAAGTCTCAAGTTGACATGACAACAAACTACCCTAAAACAAAAACAAAACGTTTAGTTAACCTGATACGAGACGAATGGACTATCAGACGGCATACGAGAATACCGGAAAACGTAATGTCCCTCTTATCGGAGACGAGAATAACGACATATTAGCAAAACAATTCATCTTTCTGATTTGACGCTTAGGTTAAAATTGCAAGAGGGAAAGTTTAAGACTGGTCGTCTTAGCTTGCATGGCATAAGATGATTACACTGTTGACCCAACCGGTAGCGCTTCTCTGTCAGTTCATGTGATTCCCTGGGTTTTCGCTTTATGCCTTAATTTGTATCTTCTTAATTAATATACGAAATTGAAGATTGCCAAACTAATGCCACCTTAATATATGTCATGAAATTTCTATACTTTGTTCAGAATAATTGTTGAAAATTTGACCGACACAGAATATCTTCCCAATGAATAAATTTTGTGTCTGTGCACAGTTTATTGTCTCACATTTGTATTCATGGTTTGCAAATAGGCATTAATAATAATTATGATGGTTAATATGAAATCCTACAATGATTATTGCTGAAATAAATTCTTTACTTACCAGTGCATTTGCAACATACTTTACCACACTTGCACTTAAAGGCTAGTTTTTCCACATAACCTCCTAATGATGGACATGTATCAGAAACGGAACAATGTCCACCTCGTCCAGTACATGCAAAGTTCGGTTCGCCTGTAAAATTTTATAACAAATTATTCCAGAGATAAATAAACCAAACCCTGTACTTCTACGAAAATCTTTAATAGGTAAAATATTATGTTCTTATTGAATGGATCATTGGTTAAACCAGATAATCAAGATAATGACCAGAAGTAAAACGACGAAAAAAGGAAACATTCCATAAAATCACTTGTACTAAACATTTGTGTTGAAGAACATTTTGATACAATAATGTGTTAGTGTTTCGTAAACATAGGATGAAAACAAACTGTTAATCTCAATTCTAATTAATTGGTATTTCAAAAAGAATACTGAGCAACACTTTCCTTTCGACATAATTTGGCTTTTGGCTAAATTTACCTATTTATTCTCTTTCAGACCAGAAATAAAACGACGAAAAAACAAGAAACAACCAACAAAATCACTTCACAGCAAAATAACAATTCAACAACACGAACCCAAAAGTCATATCCCTCAAAGACTATCAATTATTTAACAGCCGTTGATAAATGGAAGTCTTCAAATTGGCAGTGTGCGGTGTACTTATTCTAAAAATTTAACACAATGTATTCCATATTTTTTTAATAGCAATGACATCCTTAACATAGACAAATCATGATAGTTGCACTTATATTTGATTTCTAAAACCACTCGTTGAGGTACATTTATGTAACAACATCTGCCTACATCGACAGATATTTGTAAAATTATTTTATCATTATCAAAAAGTCCTTAAGGATTAAAACTTACCTTTATACTGATTAATCATTGTTATTGCCACAAACAAAACGAGCAGAGTAGTTTTTCCCATGTTAGCTATCTGAAAGGTAGTTCAGAGAGTCGGATCAATGGACCACTAAAGAAATTATGTTGCATTATGGGAGTGTTATTGTTGTGGGTTTTTGATTGGTCTATACTTTATTAACGTGGGAATTGCATGATGATGATGGATGTGTTAAACATCCTTGACAACCAAAGGAGAAGGACGTTGGTGTTGTACTCCTTATGAACCCATAAAAATAGAAATATAACACTACTTTCTGCAGAGAAAATATTTTTTAATAGCAACTTGCTTGTTATAGAAATCATTCGTTGTTCTCTACTCAGTTGAAATTATATTCTACAAAACCTAAACTGTTTGATTAAAACTATTAAATTATAGATTTAATATATCTATTGGACATATACTTTACTAACTCAAGCTGTCAGTATAATACAAAAACTTCCTCGAACTTGTTTTTTTGTCATCTGTTGCATTGTACTATTAAACATATCTTTCTTGTCTGACAATATGTCTAGTTATCTGATTAATAATTATTGATAACTTTATAACCGAACGGTCATTATCAAATGATATTAACGGTACTAAATGAATATTTCGATGATGTATGTCCCTTCAGTGATACTTGAGTCAAAAACATTTGAATATCAAAAACCTTAAACAAGAGATAAAAACCTTATAAAAAAGGGGCATTAAATCTATCCACATTCGGATAAGGAATCAGAGTTTTGCATGACGGAGACATGTTCATAATTTCAGAATAAATGCCCTTTAAAACACAGCAAATGTCATGAAAAAATGTGTGTTTTTGGATTATATTACAATGTTTACTGCTGTACCCCAATTTTTTTTACATTTTTACCTTTTATATCTGTTTGTTTTGCTCACACATTGTTGTCAATATAATGTAATTATATGCGACTGTCATACAAGTGAGAGGTTAAGCTAGCATAAAACCAGGTATAATCTACCATCTTCTACATTAGGAAATGCCTGTACCAAGTCAGGAATAGGACTGTTGTTTTCTATTCGTTTGAAATATTTGAGCTTTTTATGTTGCCATTTTATAAATGACTTTCCGTTTTGAATTTCCCTTTGCGTTCGGTATGTTTGTTATCTTACTTTTTTCTTATGCAAATACTGGTTATTGATACCTTCGGAAACGAACAGACAACCAGCAGAGGTATCGACCACAGTCCAACAAATCGAGACTGTTAACGACTGCTCTGATGAATTTAATTGACATGAAGCAAAATATGAAATACAAGAAATTTCGTTACGGTCGCAATTATAGATGTGTAACTGAAAGTTTGTACCTACTAGGTTAAGACGAGGCTTGCAGTTTACGTTGGGAGTAAAATCTGTTAGTTCGAATTTTCGTCTCTTTTTTTTCCTATTCTGTATGTTATTGTGAAATTCTTGAGATCAGAATTGAACTTCCCTTTTTGTTTTTTGTTTTTTGTTTTTTTGTTTTTTATGGCAATTTAATTTATTTAAAAAGAAATAATTTCTTTGCTTATTTATATTAATTGCATCTGTTCAAATGCATCTTTGTAAATTACTATGATTGTAAATCGAGGTGTGGCTTAATTCGGCATGTTTCTTCTATGAATTCAGTAACATACTTGATGATTAGTACGAATATGTCTTTTTTTTTTATTACGGATACATTTCGGAATCATAATCATTCAATGGAAATTTGAATACGACATAACAATAAGTTTGCCAGTGCGTATGATTTTCTAAAAAGAAATTTTCTCAAAATATCGAATCTTTACCGCGTGTATACTACCAATTGACGGTTTTGTAAGTGCCGAACTATGAAAAGAACTGTAATCACGACGTCACAACAATAGTTTAAAAAAGACACAATGGATAACCGCTCATGGTATCTTTTTAACGAACAAACCCTTATCCACTGTATTTACTTAATTGTAATAATCCTGTAATAAAAACGAAAAACGCAATCTATTTGAAAAAGAGAATTTCTATTTTTTTCTCTTATTTCAATGTTTTCTATTTGTGTGAACAAAATATTCCAACAAACATTTAACTGGCATGATTGTAACAAATATATTTGATGATGGTATCAAATAACACTACACAACAAAACAAGAAATAAACACGTTTTACTTTACATGTACAAGAAACGTAGAAATTTTTTGTTAACAAGTATTGGGGAAATTTCCCCATAAAGTTGATAACCAATCAGATATCAATAATTTGGGAAATTTCCCCAAAGAGATGATAACACAACAAATCAATAGAATGGGGAAATTTCCCTAAAACGATGTTAACGAAAAAGAAATCAATAGAATGATAAAATCTCCCCAAAATGATGAAAATTAAAAAGAAATCAATAGAATGGTAAAATTTCCCCAAAAAAGACGATAACGAAAACGAAATCACTAAAATGGGGAAATTTCCCTATAAAGTTGATAACCAAAATGAAATCAAATGTCTGGGGAAATTTCCCTAAAAAATTGATAACGAAAACAAAATCACTAAAATTTCATA